GCTCCTGGCGCTCCTGGCTCTTCTACCCCCGGTGCTCCTGGCGCTCCTGGCTCTTCTACCCCCGGTGCTCCTGGTGCTCCTAGCTCCTCCACCCCTGGTGCTCCTGGTGCTCCTGGTACCCCTGAGGGCTCCAGCCCTGTTGCTCCTGGTGCTCCTGGCTCTTCCAGCCCTGTCGTTCCTGCCGCTCCTGAGGGTTCCAGCCCTGCTGCTCCTGAGGGTTCCAGCCCTGTTGCTCCTGCCGGCACCTCAACCCCCGAGCAGCCCACCGGCGCCTCCCCAGCGGAGCCTTCGGTCTCGAGCCTCACGGGCGCTGCTTCCAAGATGCAGCCCGTGGCCGGTCTTCTCGCCGCTGTCATGGGTCTGATGGTTCTTCTGTAGATGACTCCTCCATCTTCAGCAATGAATCGATAGAGCCATTCATCTTCCCTTTGACCACAAGAAGAAACTATCAGATCAAAACAAATGGTGCTTGGAGTTCGGTTTTGGAATTTTTGCTACATTGTTGGTTATTTCCTATGTCATGAAGGGAGGACTGTCTTTGATTGTGACTCAGGACTACGACTCAAGACACAGCCACGCTCACTGGGGTGAGCGACAAGGAACACTGTGCTTAGCTCCTGATCGATTTCCCATTGGCAGTTCCTTTTGCCTACTAGTTTAATAATATATAATGAGTACGGTACGTGGAATAAAAATGGCATTTTTTTTTGTTTTTTCTTGGAAACAAGTTTCAAGCTCTCACTTTTGTCTTTTCATGTAGCTTTGATGTTCCTCTTGGTTTCTCATTTTCTTTTCTCTTCTTCCTACCATCATGGTAAAAGCCTGTCGCATAGCTGATGCCACGCTTTGCAGTGCGTAATCATATTTTCCGGAAACGGAAGAGGTTGCATCTTACGTAGTCCTTTACCCAACCCAGTCCAACCACCTCCGAGACGAGAGGGGATATGTGTGTGTGGGTACTACGGGTAGATCTGAGTAGCTGAAGACTCAAATGCAATTCGATGATATCAGGTACACAAAAATTCCACGAAAGGGAACGATCAGCAAATCCAGGCGGCATGAGTGAGTGCATCCCATGACAATCTCTGACAAGGTGATGCCCTGATTACGATCCCACCTCCCGTTACTCGTATGGATCAGAGCAGTAAGTAGTACTCCTCCCCCCCCCCCCAAGGCCACCCTTCCGCATCGTCTATAGATTCTCCAGATGCCCGATTTCGAGACCCCAAATAGTTGAGAAAGGGGCACAAACTGATCGCACGCAAAGATGCAAAACATAAGTGATATATAGATAGGACTCACGACTGAAATGGTTTTCAATCGGTCGAGGGTAGGATTAGGGCAAGGGGTGTTGAAAACTTGGAAGACTACCTACCTACCTATCTGGACCCAACCACTCGCAACCATGGGCCAAATTAAGGGATATGGGTGCTTTCTAGCAAAAGTTTCTAGGACTCTGAACAATCGAGTGGGAACTATCAGGAACCAGCGGGTCCTGGTAAAACCCGGTTGCAAGTTCGGCACTCTTGTCACTACACGTGCATGATTTATGGATCAAGTGGTTGAGTGCTCGTCAGAGCTTATGGAGAATAGCTCAGTGTAGACATAACCACCCGCGATGAAGAGGTATAGAACGAGGAAGCCAGGTTAAGTCAGGGGCGGGATGGATTCTATAAGTTATACTTTACTAAATCTGAGACAGGGCATAGTTCTGGAACTGATCGTGGTAGAGGCAGAGGTGTGGAGATTAGGACAGGGGGGAGTAGAGGGTATCTTTTGCTGGAGTAGAACTATCTCCTAGTAGATATTGGATTAAGTAGCTGTGGATAGCAACAGAGTATGGATAGTATATCAGGTAGAGGATTGCTTAGCTAAGTATAGCTTAGCGTCGATGTGAAGACGACTTTTCTGTAGCTGGGGTTATACGATGTGGGTACGGTGTATACAGGGTAGATATATGTAGAGGAGAGGAGAAGAAAACAGATACCAATACTGGATTATCTCGTTGAACTAGATACCTTTATCACTTTTGGCAACGGTTTCGAATATATGCAGGGAGAAAGGGAGTAGCAGAACTCAAGGTATAGAGATATCGAGGCGGAGCATAGCACAGAACTATGTCGATTATGGATGAGATACTGATGAATTTACTGGCCCATAGAGGAAAGCTTGATGCCTTGAGAGTCATGGCATTGGTAAGGAAGGAAGACAGCTATACGAAGTTGTGGTGTTTACATACTTGCGGTCCCAATTGAAATCATGTGATCTCGCTGAGGCGAGGCGTTACACGCACAACGCCGATAAACTAGTCAAGGTGGAAGAATAGGCCATTCTTATCTGGGTATAGTTTTTAGACAAACTGGTTCCCTAACCCCCCGCTCTCTACACCATGTGAATAGGATCCAAGGGAAGGAATAGTCGAAAGTAAGGATGCTTACAAAAGTGGAAGAAATTCTTGTCATATCTCGTTGTATAGCTTTTATGATATCACAGGTAGTGGGTGAAAGAAATTGGTCATGAATGTATATATAGGATCGATGATGCGCAAGGGGGAAATTTGATACTGGGAATAAAGGGTCTTAAGATGCAAACACAGAGATCTTTCTTCCTTTTCTTTTATGATTTAGCAACAAGCAAGCAACATCTACCGCTTACCCTCCAACTCCTGCTCGACCTCGGCCTTGACGATCTCGCGGACCTGCTCCCATCCGGCCCCAGGACCGACGGGGGTGACGCGGCTCTCGCGCTGCTCCAGGCCGATGAACTCCTGGGGCAGGACCTCGGTGAAGTCGTAGCCGTCCTCGGCGCGCAGGGCGAGGTCGACGGCGCTGGCGAACTTGGCCGGGTGGGCGGTGGAGAGGGAGATGTGGACGGCGCCCGGGTTGCGCTGGATGGAGCGGCGGGCGGCGGCAACGCCGATGGCGGAGTGGGGGTCGAGGATGTAGCCGCCGGTCTTGGAGCTCTTGGCGCTGCCGGGGCCCAGGTTGGCCGGGAAGGAGGTGCGGTAGGTGTCGCGGATCTGGGCGATGGTCTCGTCGTTGCTGACGCGCTCGGACTCGAACTCGGCCTGGGCGCCCGCGAAGACGGCCGGCGAGACCTGGAAGCCGCCCTCGGTCTTGAGCTGCTGCAGCCAGCCGCTGACGCTGTCGCAAGCCTGCTTGCGGCGCGCGTCGGCCGAGGCGGCGTCGCTGCTCTGGTAGGCGAGGAACCAGAGGAGGCGCTCGAAGTTGCTGCTGACCAGGATGTCCATGGCCGGGCTGTGGGTCTCCTTGACGCCGGTGCCGTTGGCGTCGTTCTTGGTGTAGGCACCGCTGCTGCGGAAGAAGCGGTCCAAGATGTCGTTCTCGTTGGTCGCGATGACCAGGCGCTCCGCGGGGAGACCCATGCGCTTGGCGAACCAGCCGGCGAGGATGTCGCCGAAGTTGCCGGAGGGAACCACGAAGCGCAGCTTGGAGTCCTTGTTGAAGGAGGGGGACTTGGTGAGGGAAAGGTAGGAGTAGAAGTAGTAGGAGATCTGGGCGAGGATGCGGGCGAAGTTGATGGAGTTCACGGCCGCGAGGTTGTGGGTGGAGTTGAGCTCGGGGTCGGCGAACAGAGCCTTGACGAAGTCCTGGCAGTCGTCGAAGGAGCCCTCAACAGTGAGGTTGTGCACGTTGGCGTCCAGCACGGTGGTCATCTGGGCCTGCTGGATCGGGGAGACCTTGCCCTTGGGGAACATGATGAAGATGGAGACGTCCTTCTTGCCGCGCAGACCGTAGATGGCGGCGGAACCGGTGTCACCGCTGGTGGCTCCGACGACAGTCAGGTGGTGACGGTCCTTGCCCTCCTTGCCCTGGTTCTTGCGCACGAGGAAGTACTCGAACAGGTTACCGAGGAACTGGAGCGCGACATCCTTGAAAGCGAAGGTGGGGCCGTGGAAGAGCTCGAGCAGGTGGAGGTTCTGCTTGCCGTCGAGTTCGATGGTGGGAGTGCGTTCGGGGTGACGGAAGGTGGCGTAGGAGCGGCGGATGATTTCTTGAAGGTCGTCGCGGGGGATCTCGGACTCTGAGATGTAGAGAGACATGATACGGAAGGCGATCTCCTCGAAGCTCAGATTGCGCCATTCGGACTCCCAGTTAGCGGGGAGGGAGGGGATCTCCTCGGGGATGAAGAGACCGCCATCAGAGGCCAGACCCTTCAGGACAACCTCCTCGAAGGAGAGCTAAGCAGAAGAGCAGACAGGTTAGCCATTGAACCGAAGATTGCTTTCTTAGAGGGTTTGTTGCCATACTCCGTAGGAGGCACCCCGCGTGCTCAAATATTTTTGCGACAGAGTATGCGACATGATGACTGGAAGTATGATGGGGGAAGGGGGAAACAGAAGAGAGATATGACAAAGAAGACACTCAATTGCGAGTCAGAGCCTCTTTCGACAAGAATGCCAGCGACAAAACAGAGGAATATGAAGAGAGAGTGAGTGAGGGGGGCGAAGACAAGAGGCGATGATTCACTCGCCCAAAGAAGAAATTCGGAGGGGTTGCCTGCTGCTTTGGGATTAGTGGCTCCGATGGCGGAGACAGTCACGTGCCGTGCCTATTGGAGTATGTAAATTGTAAGCCTGCCGCAGCCAAGACGGGGCTATTACGAGTACATACTAGACTCTCTATCAAACTGCAGGTTCATCTATGAGTACTGTGAACTCACTACTAATACATTATACAGTCTATACATTCGTCATAACTCATCACCAAGCCCTGTCCGTCTAGTGCTCCTCGTTGACCAACACGTAGCGGTATCTGGCCTTACCGGCATGCATGTTGACAATGGCCTCGTTGGCATTCTTCATCGGGACCTCTTCGATCCAAGGCTTGACGCCCTTGTCCAAGACCAGCTGGAACATCTCGCGGATCTCATCAGGGCTCCCGACCAACGAGCTGGTCACCTTCAACCGACGGATCAGAGGCTTAACGGGCGCCACCAGGGTGCCATCCTCCGGCAAACCGACCTGGCACAGAGTACCATTGACCGCCAGCAGGCCGACGTACTGTTCCAAGGGCATCTGTACACGACGGGCATTAGTAAATTACTTCTCATCAACCCGATAGGAGAAATGAAAATTGAGGAAAATACCTTCGTGGACGAAACAGTCGAGACAATCAGATCCAACGACTTGGCGTACTTGGTAGCCCAATCGGGCTCATCGTCCGTCGCGATGTACAGATCGGCGCCCATCTTCAAGGCATCGGCCGCCTTGCCGGCCTTGCGCGAGATCGCGACCACCTTGTCGGCGCCCATCGCCTTGGCGAACATGACGCCAAAGTGGCCCAGGCCGCCCACACCGATGATGCCGACGCGCTTGCCGGGGCCACAGCCGTTGTGCTTCAGCGGGCTGTAGAGGGTGACACCACCGCACAGCATGGGAGCGGCCTCGGCGGAGGGGATGCCGTCGGGGATCTTGATGGCGAAGCGGGCGGGGACGCGGTTGTACCGCGCATAGCCGCCGTAGGACTTGCCGCCGTTGAGGTGGACGCTGTTGTAGGTGCCCACCCACTTGTGGGGACAGTACTGCTCCCAGCCCATGGCGCACTCGGCGCAGTCGCCGAGACGGCCCTGGCAGGAATCGCTCTGCGCGCCGACGCCGACGCGGTCCCCGAGCTTGATGTCGCGGACCTGGGAGCCGACGCGCACGGCGACACCGACGATCTCGTGACCGACACAGCAGGGGTAAAGGGTGGGCTTCTGTTGTTGTGCGGATCAGTATACATGGGACATGGTAGCTAGCATAGGCACGATTGGCGCAAGCTGAAGAACACAACACAACACAACACTAGAAAGACCTCAAAAGCACTTACCCATCCACTGTGCAGAGTGTGAAGATCGGAACCACAGATACCGCAATGAGAGACCTTGATGTCGACATCGGTCTCTTCCCAGGGCTTGGGCTCAAATTCCTGCCAGACCATCTTGCCGTCGACCGAGTCCTTGTCGAGGCCCATCCATCCTTCGAACTTGTAGTCAGTCATGATGAGAGACTTGTGTCAATTAAAGAACCTGTTCCTGAACGGTGTGTACAAGTACAAGGCTCAAGGCAAGACTGAGGGGATATCTCCTCCCACTTATATGCGTACGTATCGCCCGACAACAAACGTCGCGGGTCCCATGCTTTGATCGATCCACTTTTCGACACAAATTTCCGAGTTGGGGGAATTTTTCCTGTTGAAGGTCCAACTTCAAACCCTGAGCCAGATCCACCGGGACGGAAAAGCCAAGAAGGAGATCGAACGAGGAAGCGTCGCGAGAAAAGAGCCAAATCCATGGGCTTGGGCTTTGCAAGGGGCGATGGGGCAACCAACTCAACAAGCTATCAGCGACTGGCTCCAGCGGAGTCTTGTCCCTATGGGTCGGACGCTTGCCAAATGCTTAGAAATCTGCAGAAGAGTAGACTCCCTGATACGGGTAAAAAAGCGTTGAAAATCTGGGATTGCTGCTTCGGATAGAAAAGCCGATAGAAGATTCTCGGGATCGGAAGAGGGTTTTCACTGTGGTACTCCGTACTGTGGCACGCTTTCTTCGTGGTCTGTCTGGTGTTTGAATCACAATTGAGGATGCTATCGCCTGATGCTTTTGCTCCCTCCGTACCCATCGCGGGATTCGACCCGGTCTCTGACGCAAGGGAATCTCTCAATGGCGTTCGAGGGAGGGACTCCAACTGCTTGTCTCCAAATTGATTGATGCTGCTCCATCGTTATTAGTCAAGGAGGACCACTGGATCCACTGCGGCAGCCCGAAAAGAGGAGAGGGAAAGTAGAAATCCAAATGGACGGATGGAGCGGAAAAGCGGATCGCTTTCTCTTACCGCCAACTGGTCTACTCCGTACCTACTGTGCAATAGAGCGATCAGGCACAGCCAGAACAGCAATGATAAGGAATACTCGAATAACTTGCACTTGGAAGCTAGATAAGCTAGATTGATATGATTCAACTTTTGGATTCGGTAGTCTAGACAGCAGCTCCATCAATTATTTTCCTTATACTGAGGCAGTTCATCCATGACCGTCTGCACATCCTTATCACCGCGACCACTCAAGCAGAGCACGACATCCTTCCCAGGGCCCAGCTGGCGAGCCACCTGCATCACTCCCCAGACTGCATGTGAGGACTCCAGCGCCGGGATGATGCCCTCGAGCTGACTGAGCAGCTGGAAGCCCTCGAGCGCCTGCGCATCCGTGGCCGCAATGAAGGTCGCGCGACTGCTATCCTTCCACGACGCCAGCTCCGGTCCCACGCCCGGGTAATCGAGGCCCGCGGAGACCGAATGCGTGTCGGTGATCTGCCCATGGCGGTCCTGCAGGACATACGTGCGCACGCCATGCAGGACCCCGACGCTGCCGCTCCCGAGCGTCGCCGAGTGCTTCGCATGGCCATCGCCGCCGGCTTCCACGCCCACCAGCTGCACCGAGCCATCCTCGACGAACGGGTAGAACATGCCCACGGCATTTGATCCACCGCCCACACAGGCCACCACCGCGTCGGGCAATTTCCCGATCTCCTGTTGCAGCTGCGCCTTGGTCTCGGTCCCGATCACGGATTGGAAGGTTCGCACGATCGTCGGGAATGGGTGCGGCCCGATGGCGGACCCGAGGATATAATGCGTCGTGTCCAGCCGCGTGATCCAGGCCCGGAACGCCTCGTTGACGGCGTCCCGGAGGGTGCGCGAGCCTGCCTCGACCGGCACCACGGTGGCGCCCAGGAGGCGCATGCGGAAGACATTCAGCGCCTGCCGGCGGACATCCTCCGCGCCCATGTAGACGGTGCATTTCATGCCGAACTTCGCGCAGACCGTCGCCGTGGCCACGCCGTGTTGGCCCGCCCCGGTCTCGGCAATGATCTCGGTCTTACCCAGTCGCCGGGCGATCAGGATCTGGCCCAGGGCGTTGTTGATCTTGTGGGAGCCCGTGTGGTTCAGATCCTCGCGCTTGAGCCAGATGTTCGCGCCGCCCGCGGACTCGGTCAGTCGCGTAGCTCGGTGCAGCGTCGACGGACGACCCATGTAAGGGTAGTAAGAGCGATACTCTTCCCAGAAGGCGGGATCGTCCAGGGCAGCCTGGAAGCCGGCCTCCAGTTCATTGAGACACGTCGTCAGCGCTTCCGGGACGTATTGTCCACCAAACTTGCCGAAGCGGCCACGTTCCGAAGCCGGTCCAACTTCGTTTGCGGCGGGTGACTGTGTAGACTCCTTCTCCTTCGAAGGGGAAACGGCGGCTGCGGACGAGGTAGAGGATGGCTCGTCTGCTGCTGTGCGAGGGACTCGTCGCCCCGTGATCTGTGCGCAATACTCCTCAATCGTGCGCGCTCCCTGTCCAGCAGGGGCATTGGCCAGCTGATTGATGATCTCACTCCCAATCACGGCGCCATCAGCGACGGAGGTCACACCCAGGAAATGCTCACGGGTGCTGATGCCAAAGCCGACGGCCACCGGGACTCCACCGGAGAGATCCTTGACCCGCTTCATCAAGTCGGGAAGCTGGTCATTCAGAGTACCAGTGGCTCCGGTGACGCCCATGCGGGATACCAGATAGATCCATGTGTCAGCAATCCCACAAAGCGTCTTCATCCGATCTTCAGTTGTGGACGGAGCAATCAAGGGAACATATGAGAGGCTATAAGACGACCACGATAGGCGTTAGCGGGTACTGAACCCCATACCTAGCAAACGGAGTGGTAGTAGACAGAACTTACCCAGCATCCCGACATTGGTCGCGGAATCGAACCGCTTCCTCCGGCGGTAGATCTACGATAATGAACCCATTCACGCCGGCTTCTCTGCATTCTGCAAGCAGGGCGGTTTCACCAAAGCGCAGAACCGGGTTGTAGTATCCCATGAAGAGGACGGGGATGCGCAGGCCCTGCTGGCGGGCATCCTTCACCATTTGCAACATGGAAGTGATGGTAACTCCATTTTCGAGGGCTTTGAGGTTTGATTTTTGGATGGTAGGTCCATCGGCGATGGGGTCTGTGAATGGAAGGCCAAGCTCAATGACATCTGAAAAAGGAAATGGATATTAGTACATCGCATCCATTGCTATGCGTACCAAGAGCAACTCACCTGCTCCTCCAGCTTGCATGGCCAGCATGATATCTGGAGTTTCCGCGGCTGTCGGAAAACCGGCAGTAACATAGGTCACCAGGGCCGGACGGCCCTCGTTTTGGCATTGAGCAAAGGTTCTCTTGAGATGCTCCATCTTTCTATGCTTGGAACAATTGCAAAGTGGTAAATAGCGTAACAAAGTTGGAATGAGTAAGGGGAGAAGTGGCGTAGACTGGGGGGGGGGACTTTATGGATCTTTCGCGGTGACTCACGCCCTCAGTAAGATGGCTGCACTAGTGGCACGTCTGTCGGTTTAGTCAAATTTCAATCATCTGTGCATTCCAGGTTCTGAATTTATCCGGTCCTTCAGTCGAAAATGAACATTGTCGCAGCGTGAGCCTTTCCTACTTGGAATCAAAGTATAATAACCAAGCAGGTTCTTGGACAAGTGACAAGCCCACGGCTCGTTCGCCCCATTGAACATCCCGAGATCGCCACCTTGCCTTTAAAAAATTGCGACAGGCTAAAGACCAAAACAGGCGTGTAATACCCGGTTGAAAGAGTTGTAAAAACTCAGAAGAGATAACGACCAGAGCAATCCATTATGCTCAGAGCTTCAGGTGAATGGGATATACAGATAATTTGGGACATGAAGCCACAGACGAATCGAGGCAGGGGAAAAGAAGTACAAACACAAAGAATAAACATGTGGATCATTCAGCTTGGTCACGCCAATATAGAAAGACGAGAGAATCTATGTGAAAATGCATGAATTGCGAATTATGTGTGCTTTTGTCAAGCGCTTGCCTCCTTGATCTCCTTCCCTTCCCTTCCAGTCCCACGGCGATGTTCACCATCAAACCGCCATAGCCCGGCTTTCTTAGAATAACGACATAATGTCTTCGTTGGTTTTCTTTGGTTGGCTGCCTCCAGGAGGCGGCGATGTCGTGCCATTGCCTGACAAGTCCAGGCCGGCAAAACCGTTCATCAAATCGGCTCCAGCCCCCGCGCTGCTGCTGGCCGGGGCCGGTGCGCCTCCACCATCGCCGAAGACCCCCAAGAGATCGTCCAAGTTGTTGCTTCCAGCAGGGGCACCTGCAGCAGGCGATTCCACTCGCACTGGCGTTCCAGCCAGACCTTCGAGACCCGACATTCCACCACTGGGCTCTTTTTGAGCCGAAGCCGGCGCAGTTCCATCGAAATCGATGTCCAGTAGATTCTCGACGTTGCTCTGGCTCTGGGGAGGGGGCGCGCTGCCAGTAACCGCGGCTGCAGCGGCAGCGGCAGCAAGTGGGTTCTCGCGTGCATTTTGAATTTGTTCCCTGAAGTCAGTGGTCAGCGTGACAGACATGAATGGATGAAATGGGTTGAGACATACTCGATAGCGGCTCTCTGGACAGCGTCGGCACCGAACCTTCCTTGGCCGACAAACTGCTCTGGGGGCTTGTGGTAAACTGATGCAAGAGTCGACAGCTCGGTGAGCAGCTGCTCAAGAAGGGCAGGCGGTAGAGAATGAATAGTGGTCACAATTGGAGGCTTGTCAGACAAGACAATGTCCTTAGTAGCTCCAGGATCACTGGTATTGGATAACAAGCGCCAGTAGACATAGGCTCGGTCGCGCACATCGGGATTGTCGTTCTCAGCAGTGGCTGCCTGCAGCACTTTCTGGACGAGCCCTTGGGCCTTTTCAGGCCGCTTCAAGAAGAGCTTGACAACAGCCGTCAAGATTTGCAGCTGGGTCTAAACAGGTCCCTGTGATCAGTATACAGCATCTTTGTTGTCAAAAGGGAGTGTCATACCTGGGAGAATTCTTCATTGAAGCCTTCCACAAAACCAGCCAGAATGTCACCCGCATTACTGATCTTCTCCGCATACTGACCCACAATCCAAATGAGTGCCGCACGAGCATTTGGTTCATCTAGCTCATCGATACACTTGCACAGCGTAGGGATAATACCCTCATAGCCGGGGTACTTTCGGAAAATATCCTTGATCACCACAATGGCTTCTTGCACCACGTAGTTGACCTTGGTGTTGATGAGGTCCAGCAACGTGTTGACGCACTTCTCACTAGCGCTCTCGATTTTGATCGCAACCTGACCAATCGCCCGGACGGCGCGGCGCACAAAGTCCATGTCCACCTCAAGTGCGTACTCCTTAAGCTCGGCTAAGAGCTGGTCGACGTTTCGGTCGTTGGCTATCCGTACCATGATTTCAAGTTTCTGGAACTTGACGTATGGTGGATCGTTATACTTGCAGAAAAAGACGCGAAGTTCCTTGTTCAGGATTTCTGGCTGCTTTTGCAACAAAAGATCAATGTTTCTCAAAGCCACATACTGCACCTCGGGGGCAGATGAAACCAGAGTCACTTGCCATCATCAGCAAACGGGAACAAGTCTACGCGGTCAAAGCATCCTTACCTAGGGGAGGAGCCATTTTCTTCAGGTAGTTGCTAGCAAGCTCAGCCTTGACGTTTCTCATGTGAAGGAAAACGACTTTGACGGCAGCGAGCACAACACTCGGGTTGGCATGTTGAAACTGAGGAGCAACGCGCTCACAGATGTGCTCCGACTCAGTCACTTCAGTCGTTTTGTACTCGGCAAGAGTCGTCAAGATTGTGACGCGACCCCACTCCGTACACTCATTCAGGGCCATGAGAAGCTTGCGCAGTGTGTTGGTGGTTACCTTCAAGGCCTGTGTTTCGGGAGCAGCGTGGTAGATCTCCGACAGAGCAGTCACCGAGTTGGCGACGACCATAGGATTGGGATCTCCAATCATCTCCTGCAGCATTTCCAGAAAGCCGTTCTCCAGGCACATAGCAGGATTCAGATCGAACAGTTTGGCGACACAGATGGCCGCAGTCTTGCGGACATAGGGCGATTCGTCCCGGAGAGTCTTCCGCAGCGGTTCCTCCATGTAATCCACCATCTTGTCAACCCGGATGCACCCCATCGTTCGAATGGCAAGGGCTCTGATTAAAGGATTGGGGTCTTCGGAGTCTTGAACAAAAGTGTTGACGGCGAGAATGCACAGGTCGGGGTGAGATTTGGCGTAGTTCCTGTCGGGCGCAAAAGACAATCAGCGTCAAGCCCGAATAGCCAACCAATGCTAGGCCACCCACATGAGGTAAAGATAAACCAGCTTCTTTTGTTCGAGATCGCTAGTCGCAATGTTCTTGAGAACATCCGGGAATAGAGAGGAGACATCCTTGCCCAACGTCATGGCCATGATAGTCTTCTGAATTGACTCCTTGCTAACGGTGTATTAGATTGGTTGCGCCGACCAAGATATGCTGCCATTTATCCACAAGTGGGTTTGCATGTGACATACCGTTCATATGCATACTGGGACCTGAAGGTTAAAGAGCGTCAGTATCGACTCATCGGCTTGGGCAGGACACAAAGATAGCATAGCATACACAAGACCAGATCGCAATTCAAAAGTCTCTCCTTTCTTGGGGACCGCAAAGGCCCCCCGAATCCTACTCATCGCCATTGTGCTAAGAGAAGTCTAGCGACGACCGAGTCGCGCCTCTGCTGGTGGAAGCTGAAGTCGGAGGAGGGAATGCAGGAGACTGCGGGGAATTGCGAGAGCTTCAGGGTGAGCCGCAGACGGGAGAATTAGAGCGGGGAAGCAAGAGCTCTCATACACTCTCTCACCTCCGTGCCGAAATGACGGGAGGGAGCAGGAGTATACGTGAAAAATTGTCAGTGCAAAGAAGGGAACGAAGAGAATGTGGAGTGGGAAGAATGGAGGGAGGAGTGAAGAAGTCAAGGTGGAAGACAGTCAGTTGATGATCAGGAGGGAGAGGGAGGGACTGGACGGAGTGTCCCCATCATTAACCACAGCCAATCCGCACAACGCGGCGCCCGACTAAGCGCAACCCATCACCTTAATTCTTTTCCCCGGCGGTCTGGACTGCCTCGTAGTTTACTTCATACCCCATACATACACTTGGTCTGATTCATAACAAAGGATATTTCAGCCTTTTTGCTGCCATATCCATTGCAGCATACGAAACCTATGGTAAGTTGCTCTAACCTCTACATTTGTTACTATCAATGCGCAACTATGACAACATCGCTTACCTTTTACCGAACAAGGCGAATCTCCCTAACCTCCGACGCCTGTTCGTCGAGGCCAGGACCGAGGCCGAAGAGAACGAGCACTCCAGGACAGCGGTATGCGTTCCTCGATTGCTCTCAAAAGCCAATAGAAAATATCTGAATTCCAGACTAATGGATCTTTTTGCAGTTTTACAACCTTGTCCTTTTTATCTCCTCGGTCGCTGTCTTCAGCTTGGTGGCTCAACGAATGGGCGGAACGAAGTCGGGAAAATGAACAATGAACGCAAAGGAAAAAGGAAATGCCAGTGGTATCTCGTACAACTCATACTCTTTGAACAACTTGATAATCCAGAGCCTGCCCCGGATATAATTGCTTGCACAAGCCAGCAACACTCATGCAACACCATCAGTCCGTCTCCTCACCATCCTCATCTTCCAAGAAGGCCAGGCCTCGACGTCCCCGGTTCAATCTCCGTCTAGGCCGACTGTCTTCACTATCGTCGCTCCCAGCCTCCTTCCCCCATCGCTTGGCTCCTTCCTGCACCAGCTCGAGGTCGGCCTTGAGCTCACGCTCCTCACGGATGCGGTTCGCTTTCTCCACCGAGTACCGCCCTTCCATGCCGGCCTCCTTCAACATATCCTTGAGGTGTTTGATCTTGGCTTTGGGGGTGTCGAAAGGAGCCAGCTCCCTCGCCCACATCTTGCGAATCCCGCATTTAATCAGCCAACCCTGCAGCCGTTTGATCTCCGCCTGATTGGGGTCCTGATCCGCATCTTTGCCCTTGGCCGGAGCCGCTTTCTTCCCTTTTCGTGAGGATGTCTCGGCGCTCTTCTGTCGCTTGCGAACGGGTTTCGGCTCCTCATCAAGAACTACCGACATTTCACTTTCGGTATCGACTTTATCTTCTGACTGATCTTCTTTCCCATTGGCGGCGTCAGTAGAGTCATCGGGGGCTGGCTCTTCGCTGGGCTTGGTCTTTTTCTTGTTGGTGGTCTTTGTTTGCCTTTTCGTGGAGGGCTTTACTTCATCATCCTGGTACTCATCCTCGATGTTCGAACTATCATTTTCATCGGTTTCCGAAGGACTGGTTTTCTGGCGTTTGCGCGGTGCGGCGGTGCGGGCCGATTTCGTTCTCTTGGCGGGCTTCGCGTCTTCCGAGGACAGTTCACTTTCAGAGTCGCTATCGTTCTTTTTTGGGGTCGATTGTTCGGCGGCTTTCTCCTCGACCTCCTATTCATAAGATGAGACATTAGAGCGCAATTGTAAAGAAACAAAAAAGAAGGAATTGCAATGGCGTCATAACACAAGAGACACGGGGAGACCAACCACTTGATCGCGAATGACCTCTTCACTTCGGGCTTTCCAATCACCTTGTGTCTTGAAGAATCCTTCGTCGAGCTTGAGCGCCTTTTCTGCCGCGAGACGCACACGCTTGACCGTCAATTCCTCCAACTTGCCCGATTTGTGGATCTCGGCGACGGTGTCGCGTAAAGCTTGTTCCAGCGCGTCATCGGACGGAATGTCTGGACGGCCGGCTGCCGACTCGGACTCGGACTCAGACTCCGATAGCGCGTATTTTGGGGCCATTGTTGCCCTTTGTCTGTCTCGACTTTACCCCGAGTTAAATGCCCGACGTCGGGTGGGTGTAGATGTCCGCTGCGTGTGGGGGGGAGTGAAACGGCGGGAAGTGGCCGTGCGGCAGGCGGACGCGATGAGAGGCAGAATACAACCGCCCCAAGCAGATCAGGAAGCGAAACGATCGACAATGTATCAGACGCGAACAAGCTTGATGAGAGGGAGACTGAACAATGTCAAAGAGGGACACTAGGAAAGCTTGCATCTAGAACCCCTGCTTGCTCGATTGGCTTCGGTCGGAGAGTTTCCAATTGCATGGCGCGACAATGCGCTCGCTGACAAAGCCGCTTATCGGGGACTGGCGGCCTTCGATAAAGTCGGAGATCGAGGGCACTATTACCAATCGACGAGAGAATCTTCAACTATACCTACCTTCCTCTCTTTTCTTTCTATATAGACTCTTATTCTTTGGTTTTGGTTCTTACACACTCTCTTCCTAATTGATTGTGCATCTTCTATAACATAGAATTTTCTTTCTTTCTTGCAGTCCCTACTCCCTCTCACTACTACCACCCAATCACCCCCACCGGCATCATGTCCGAAACCCACCCCGACGCAACAGAGACCGCGCAATCGACGCAAAAGAAGCTCTTCACGCATCAGTTCCAGTTCCCTGCAGCCACAGCCAGCTCCTCCTCCTCCTCTTCGACAGCGTCTCAACCAAAGGATACCAACAACAAGGACGAACACGTCCCACCGGGATACACCAAGCTCCCGAATGGAGTCATCCTCGACAAAGAAGGCAAACCGTATGCGCAGCCCCAACCAACAATTGAAAGCACAACCTACCTCCCCAAACCCCTCAACCTCTACACACACACATCCCAACCCTCCACCAACCCCAGATACTGACCAGTATAAAAAAGATGCCGCCTCTGCACCTCCGCCGCCTCCTGGCGCGCCCTAACCCAAAAAGCCAAAGCCACACCCACGGCACCCCCGCCAACTACCACCACCACCACCGCCACCACCGCCACTAACCAAAAATACGGCCAATGTCCCCCGGACGTCGAGGAACTCGGCCGCTCGACCTGGACCTTCCTGCACTCGCTGACGGCCTCGTACCCGGCGCAGGCCTCGGCGGAGCAGCAGACGGAGATGCGCACGTTCCTGGGCATCTTCTCGCGGCTGTACCCGTGCTGGGTGTGCGCGGACGACTTCCGGGCCTGGATGGCCGAGCCCAGCGGGCAGAACGCGCCGCGGCTGGCGGGCCGGAAGGAGTTCGGGGACTGGATGTGCCGCGCGCACAACGAGGTCAACCGCAAGCTGGGCAAGGAGGAGTTCGATTGTCGGTTCTGGGAGGAGCGGTGGCGCTCCGGGTGGAAGGATGGGCGGTGTGATTGATCCTTATTAAACCTTGGGGGGGTGGGGTGAAATGGAGATCCGGTGTTGGATGTGTATAACTTATGGGATATGTGAATAATGTTATCAGTGGTGGGGACTGTTTTTGTATAATATTTTTTTTTTGCATAGCATCGGGATGCCTCGGTTCTCTACTCTTGTCTTATTAAGTAAATTTGGGAGGATTTCAAATGTGATTATCATCTCTCCTCGTTCTTAACTTTCTTTTTCACCACGGTGAGGTACTATGGAACATCACCTAGAAACGAAAAAAGAAAAAAAAACAACATTGAAGAAGATTTGAGTCCTAACGTCGCTGAGAAATTATGATAACAGAAGAGGTTCCATCCATACATCGAGGGCAAGCACCAAGTTTGGGTCCCACCTCCAGCCGTACCAGTAGAAAAAGAAAAATGTTTTCTATCAGATCTGCACATCAAGAGACGGGGAATTACAGTATAAAAAAAGAGCTCGTCATCGTCATCCTCAATACTGGCTGGGAACAAACAACCGGAGTCCGCTGGCCGGGGCCCCGATCTCCGTTACCTCCGAAATCCGACACACCGTGCCCTTGTATTGTTCATGGTACTTGGCGCCTGTGAACGGGTCCGACACACTCGGGGAGCCACCGTAGATGGGCGTGTACGAAGCAGCACAGATGTCAAATTCGGCGAATTGGTCGAACTCGATGTCGATCTTGTCTTGCGGGCTGCGCTCGCTCTGCAGCTTAATCTTACGGGCCTATTGGGGGAGTCAGTATACCTGGAGCTGGCCAGAAGCTGGGGACATGTCTTACCTGCTCAAGAAGCTTGGGCGAGCCACCGTTGGCCAGCATGCGGTTCGCGAAGCTGAGGGCAGAAGAATAGTTCTTGTTGGCGAAGGCAAACTTCATGGCAGCCATCAGTGCCAACTGACGGTGGGCTACTTCCAGCTTAGGGATGGTGAAGTAGGCCGAGAGCTCAAGACTTCTCTTGAGGCCCTCGGGTGTATCAGTGGAGAGAGAACGACGCTCCAACTCGATCGACATGGCCAGAATGTACTCCCGCGCGGTAGCGATAATCTTCTTCGCTTGCTCGACTTCAGCCTCGGAAGAGACGGTGTTCAGCAGGATTGAATGCAGGATGCCCTTGAAGATCTTGACACCGTCTTCAAGTTTGTTGGCCCGCATCGCAGCGTAACCCTCTTGCAAGTCGACGTTGGCAATTGTCTCCAGATCTCTGGGGATGACAGGCAGAACCTTGCGGCTGTCCGTCTCTTCAACGGTGCGGCGCACGTAGTTCACCAACGGGGGAAGACCGGCGCTTGCCGGCAGATAAGTCTTGGAGCCCTTGTAGATTTCCAGGAATCGGGGTTTGAGAGGGGCGAAGTTGACGGCACCAACTTGACGATTGAGAAGTTGCATGGCTGTCTCGAAGGAGCCGGCAGCGACATGATCCGCTGCCAGAGGGGAGTTGCGAGCCCAAAGGTCGGCTTCCGAGCCACCAGCACCAGCCTCTGCACCTTCAACATCGACGAACTCAGCATCCTCTTCGACATTGATCTCGTCTCCCATATCCCATCCGGCGACATCCTCCTCTTCGTCCTCGAAAGTATCACGCACAGCAGCAACCTCGCCTTCCTCCTCAGGCTCAAACTCGATCGCAGCAACCTCATCATCGACCTCGCCCACCTCTCCAAGCAGAGCCTTTTCGAATGATGAATGAGCAGCAGCCTTGACGGGCCAATTGGCCTTGAAGGTGGGAACAATGGGTTGAGGCACACGCAGGGGCTCCTCAATCGTGGAGAGAGTGATCTGGTCCTCCGTGAGACCACAGGCTTCGAGAATCGACTCAGCCTCCTCTGTCAGCCCGTGGGACTTGGCAGTAAGGTACGCGAGCGGATCTGTACCAGATTAGAAACGAACACCAACTTGGACAGGGAACAGGACTTACAAAGATCGACTTCCTTGAACATCTGAATTCTGTCCTCGACGTCACCACGGTAGATAGCGTTCTGGAAGCGCGACGTGAAGTCGCCTCGGTGCTCAGCAATCTTGGCCATGCGGGACAGCTTCTCCTGGTCGCCAGTTGACAGGTACAAGAAGGACAACTTGTCGAAGTTTCTCTGCTTTTGGTAGGCCATCTCAACTGTCTGGTGGTTACCGTGAGCCAGAGCTTCGGCCCCAAGTCTGGTCCACAGATTGGGGCGGTCCAACTCGCGAGCCATCTCAATAGCTACATCCAGGTTGCCGCACTCGAGGGCAAGCTCGAAGCGGGTCTGAGGGTCCTGCACAAATTGCAACGCGATCTCGGGGTAGCCCTTCTTCTGCAGGTAGGAAATGATGCTTTGACCGACCAGGCTAGAAGTCTTAATGATCTGCAACATCTCATCGTAGTTCCTCTTCACCAGTGCAAGCTTGAACCTGTACTCAGTAGGGTCAATGTCCAAAACGCGGGGCTTAGCGCTACGGTCCAAGCAGTAAACGCTTCTGCCCTTGACCTTAACAAGGTAGACAGTCTGGTCGAGAGTGCGAATAATGCCGTTGTCACTGGTTCATATTAGCTATCCAATCGTGTCATCTTGAGGAACTTAGAAATAGCATACCCGTTCAGGAGAGAATATTTGACATGGTTCAAGGTAGAGTAGAGAAGGACGCCAGCGTCATCCCAGGCTGCGCTCTTGATACGGATCGTCTCATGCAAACTGCTCACCTGCTCCAAGGTCTTGGTCACAATAGTGACATTATGCTTGCTGAGCAAAGCGGCATAGAGCCCGTCGTTGGACCAGACAACATACTTGACGCCGCTGACAGCGAGTTCCGCCAGTTGCTTCTTCTGCTGGATGTCGAAGAGAACGACCGAAGTAGGAGTGATAAAGAGGAGACAGCTAGTTCCACCGAAGTAAATATCGGTGGTTCCGACTGGAGGCTTGATCGATTTTGTAGTCGCATTGCTGAGATCCTTGATGTCCACCTGTTGGTTGCCTTGGCTAAAGACGGCGAAGCGGTTACGCGCAACGAAGACAGCAGACGTGCCTTGACCACGCTTGACATCGGTAGGCTCCACAGCACCGGTAGCATCCCTAGGGAGGTGAATCAATTCGTACACGCCACCATCAGTCGGGGACGTGACCAGGATGGCACGCTCGGCAGGGTTGTATGAGAGAGTACGAGGGGGGACCCAGGGGGATCCAAGTTTGCGCAGGGAGAGCATAGGAGGAGACTCCACGTTCTTGCCGAAATCATAGGACTTGACATGCTTCTCTTTGGTGATATAGAAGAGCTGGTTCTGGTAGACCGCTGAGGCAGGCCGCTCTCGCTCCAACTTGAAAACCATCACACCAGTATCATGACCGGCAGCAAACAGGTTGATCTCGGGATGGGCAGCAATGACCCAGAAACGATCCATGTCACGCTTGAACGATTGAACGGACGTTCTCTTATTCAAATCCCAGCATCTGATGGTCTTATCCTCGCCGACAGAGAGGATCAGGTCCTGGTGAGGATGGAACAAACAGGCGGAAGCGTTCTGGAAATGCCCACGGCAGGTGTCAACTTCCCAAGCTTTCGTGTCTATAGAACCCATGTCAGCTACTACTACCACCACCGAACCCCTATATTGTCATGTCCCACGTACCACTCATCCTCCAGAGCTTGATGAGGCGGTCGTCACCGGCGGAGACGATCAAGGGGAGGGTAGGGTGGAAGGAGACCCAATTGACTCCACGATCGTGACCCTCTAGAACGAACTTCACCACGGCATCTGTGTTTCCGAACATATCTGCTTGACCGGGATTGGCTCGGGCCATCTGATCTTCGAACGAGATAGTCGTCGGGGCCGAGTGCTTCTTGCGCAAGCCGGAAATGTCCCAAATGCGAACCGATTGATCCAACGAGGCAGAAGCTATCAGATCCTCGGTAGGGTGGAACTGTGCGCACATAACGTAATGGTTGTGGCCGGTCATGGTACAGACTACAGGGTAAATGTCAGCCTCCCTCCGGACAGGTGGTCAGAATCAATCCAACATACTTAGGGACCGGTTCTGCCAGTTCCAGATTCGAATAGTTTGATCGTCCGAGGCGGAGAGAATCCAAGGCAATTCATGATGGAAGAAAACCGTCCGCACGTAGTCCAAGTGACCGTTCAGGGTGAACATGCACCGGCGAGTCTGGTAGTTCCAGACCTTGATCTTGTAGTCATCACCTCCGGATACAAACATGGGCTGTGTCGGGTGGAAGTCAATGCCACGAACGGGACCATCGTGTTCTTCGAAGCGGTCAATCAGGGTACCCATGCGGTAATCCCATAATTGAATGGTGGAGGAGTGAAGGGAGACTAGAATCCATGGCCTGTGCCGGGGGTCAGCGTTTGCGACGCGTTGTACAAACGACAGATGAGGACGAACCGCTTGGGGTGGAAGGCAATTCCCTTAGCGCGGGAGGATTTGGACTCAAACTAGAGTATTGAAGGCGTTGTCAGTTCCAGGTCTTGGAGTGAACAGAGACCAGCTCCGTTGCGATAAGGGGGGGAGGGGACAATGGGGATGTGGAGGGGACGGCGGACCTTAGTGAGCATGTTTGGGGAGGACTGCATCTTGAAAGAGGGTTGGCCGGAGCCGCACCATAGAGAAGCAAGCTCCGCACACGAGATATTAAGGGAAGATCAAAAGAATGACCACCACATCCACTACTTCGGGAGGAAGAGGAGGAGTGTAGTTGTGAAGGGGGTTAGTTGTTAGTTGTTAGTTGGATAGCAATGCTGAGGAGTGTCTGGACTCTGGACTCCAGCCGTGGTCCGTCTGGATGGATGGATGGCGGTAAACGTGGACTTATTGTGTCGGCAGCCAATAAGCGAGTCCCGAGGGCCAATGATGGGCCCCGGCGGTGAGCAGCTGCCAGGGGAAATCAATCGCCTACAACTAACTAAGCCTGAGCTAGCATGCTGATGCTCATGCTCATGCTCATGCGCATGCTTGCACTTCGCTTGACACTAGCTGGGTATTGTTCTCTCTTTCTATGATTGATTCTGATTCTGGATCGGAGCGAGCTTCAACAGAATGTGATATCATGGTCTTGCTGCTTTCTATCCGTTGTCGGAGCGGTGGGACCCTCATAATGCAACCCAACACAACATCTTCTCCAGCCCCATTAGTTACGCTTCTCTTCGACTGGATCTGTTTGAGCTCTGTCTGCCCTATCCTTCTTGCAACATTTTTTTTTTCCATTTGCAAATCAACAGACCAAATCACTGCAAGTGTAACGGCGATATTGTATATATAATGTCCATTCATGCGCATACCGATCTTCGAAACGCTTTCTAATGCAGCATTTACACTATATGAAGACAGCATTTTTCATTACCTGACAATTTTTGGCAACACCGGCTAGAACACCATGATCAAAACTGAGGATGGTTCAGTGCCTCCTCTCTCTCCGCTTCGGGATGACCCAACTTGCTTCACTCAGGATATTCCCGGTCCCGCTTCGGCCTCCTGGCAACCTGCTGCGCACGAGTCCCCCTCAGTCAACAGCCACATTGAAGATCACACGAACGTGATATTGCCATATGCGATCGAAGAACCCGAGGATGAGCCTGCCGACGCCTGGGAGGAGGCAGGTGCGAGACCGAGGTCTGCGTTACTTCTCCGTGAAAGTTCGGACTCCAAGCAAGATGATTTGGCGGACTCGATGGAGGGCCTTTATTGCGATTCGGATCCTACAAGCCGCCGCTCAAGCTTCGCCGCTAAACGGGGCATGAAGCGAAAGCCGTCGGGTGCGCCAACCGCACCTAGCCATCCAACTCGATCAAATTCGACCAGCAACTCTTCAAATAATCACGAGGGAGGGTCCAACGGTCGTCCCAAAAGACAGCGTAGGCGAAGCCAACGTTCAAAGAACCATATGAAGCTATTCTCCGATGTGTTTTGGCACGGGGAGGCCAGTGAAACCGGATCATCGGGCAGTTACGACTCTCGATCCTCTTCCGCGGATCCTAGTAGTGCCCACCCCTATGCGTCCGCCGCGCCAGATCAAATGGACATCGACTGAATGAGCGTTACATGAGCTCCTGGTTTCCCACGAGCTTCAGAGCTTGTTGCTGTTGCTGGCTCTGGCGGCCTGCAACATGTGACACGTGACGTAGTGCGGCCACGCTAGGCCGGAAAGGACTGGACTACTCGATGACGTCACCAACTTCTCATCGCCGTCACTTGTACTGCTCTCTTTGTCGGCTTACGGCTAACAGATCACCTCTTACCGTTATCCGTCGTTATCCTGTCGCTTTCATCACCCATTGAACACCAATTTCGATTCTTCAATTGGCCCACGAATTTGCTTGACAAGCCCCTGCGCGCATAGTAATCATGGCAACTCGAACATCGACTCGCCAGGCCGCCCAGAAGGCAAAGGAAGCCATTGCGGCAGCTCCTGATGTGAAAAGTCGAGGCACTGCTGGCGCAAAGCGTAAGGGCAGTGCTGACAAGGGAGTGGAGTCTAAGCGTAGCAAAAAAGAGGCCGACAAAGAGCTGGACGAAGCCCAGCAGCCCGCGACCGGAATTGATGCGCAACCACCTAAAGGTAGAGTAAGCCCGCATAACCACCTCGAATATCTTCTGACTATGTGTAGCTCGCTCTGAGCAGGCCAGCAAGCCCGAAGCGAAGCCTGAAGAGCTTAAGGATAAGCCTGCGGCTAAGCAAGAGGGAGAGCCACCGGAGAAACCTGGTGAGAACCCGGAGGACAAGTCAGAGGACAAGTCAGAGGACAAGCCAGAGGACAAGTCAGAGGACAAGCCAGAGGACAAGCCAGAGGACAAGCCAGAGGACAAGCCAGAGGACAAGTCAGAGGACAAGCCAGGGGGAAAGCCAGAAACCGAATCAGACACAAAGACAGAAGAAAAAGCAGAAGAACAGCCAGACAAAGTGAAAGAAGACAAGGTTGACGATAAGCCCGAAGACAAAATGGAGCTGGATGATGAGGAGAAAACCGACGACATTCAGATAGAAAGCAAGGAAACCAAGACGGCTCCCGCCAAGGGCAACGAAGCTGGCGTCGAAACCTCACAAGAAAGAGAGGAAAAGGTCCCGTCAAACATCCTTGAAAAGGGTATCATTTACTTCTTCTACCGGTCCCGAGTCAATGTGGCTGACCCTCAGGGTGTCGATGACGTTGCGCGCACTTTTGTGGTGCTACGACCAACTCCCTTGGGAGCTACTTTGGACGCAAAGCAGGGCCCCGTTGACACTGGTGCTAAATGTCGCTTGATGGCTCTTCCAAAGAAAAGATTCCCGACCTCTGGTCGTGATCGAGTTATGGGATTCGTCGAGAAGGCTGGGCAATCCATGAAAGCACTGCAGGAAAGCTTCATTGCTGGACAGCAGTATGACACAGCCACTCAAGGCGAGCGTACCGTTCCTGAAGCCCGGCCGTATGCAGAAGGCGTCTACGCAATCACATCTACCAAACGAACCTCTCACCTGGCTTACGTTCTCACAATTCCTGATCAGATTGGATCACTTCAGGAAGACTTTGGCCTTCGGGCACGGGGAAGCTGGGTTGTGCAGTCGAAGAATCCAAAACACCCTGGGCCATCGTACGCTCAACTTCCTAAAACCCCCGAATATCCCGACAGGTACGATCCCCGCCCCAATTATGGCTTTCCTTGTCCCGGTCAACCTGCATTTGCTGACTGACGACGGCAGTGTGCTTGCTAAATTCGGCGACTACCGCTGGAGGCCGCTGGAGCCCGAATTCATCGATTATCCCAACGCGCAGTTCCTTGTGGTTGGGGAGGCTGTGGATGAGCTTGGAAAGGCTGCAACTGCAGAGGAAGATGGCAAGAAAGCCGACGAGGTGCAGCCTGGAGAAGAGCTCGAGCACCTAGAGCAGGAAAACCAAGAGCGGGTGGAATCTCTGCGGGGTGAGTGTTCCCTCATGATCTTTTAGATTGTCTGACTTGCGGCATGCAGCTAACATCAAATAGGAGATGACACAATCTATGAGGATCTTGGCCTCGATGCGAAGAATTATCCTGCCGTTCCGACGACTTGGGGATAGTCAGTAAGGAGTTTGGGTGACTGCGGTGACAAAAGGTTATTCTGTAGGATATGGCAGGCCAACAATGACGCGGCATGATAGAAGCAGATGATGATGACAATGACGATGATGAGATGAAGTCAGTGTGAAGATCACCGCTGCAGTCAACTAAAAATAATGTGAATGCAATGCAATTACTTGTTTTTCCTTGGCTATGGCCTACTGGGTAATAATGGTCTTCCATCTACAACGAATTGCAAGCATGGATGCGCCCACGTTGTCTTCCTTCTGCTGGATCCTTCCTTGATCCTTGCTAATCACAACTTAAGTAGTTCTCCGGTCCTCGGAGCCAACTCTATCCGCCAGCTAAAGTGCTTTATGGATAAGAATAAGTCCTGCTACTTACTGCTACTTACCCGGCTCTTTTTCTAGGTCTCCAATCGATCTCAATCTCCTCCTTACACTTACAATCTGAAAACCACCCTCCATGCGACGCGACTCTTCGTGGTCGTACACTCTCCCGGTTTTATACTGGACTGCTGCTGCTGCTGCTGCTGCCAGCAATGACGTTGTGAACCGGACCAGCTGCGGCAGTCATACCTACACCTACTCCGGCCTGGCTGGATATGGCTTCGTTCCTTCCAACGCCACAGACAAGTATGGCGACACTTTAGGGGGCTTCGGCAGCTCGGCCGCCTTTGATTTAAACTCCTGGCGGCGCATTGGGCCTGAGACTTATACCGGACTGCTTTACTGCATCCCCGATCGTGGCTGGTATGACTGTCTTCTGGATCGTTATACTGTTCTCCTACGGCCTCATGTGCTGAGAATGAATGCAGGAATACGAACGGCACTCTCAACTACCAAGCCCGCGTCCATACACTCAACGTCACCCTACAACTGACCAGCAACAACAACTCCGCCAATCGTCCATCCCCACCCAACCTGCAGCTGACCTACCTCGACTCGCTACTGCTAACAGATCCCACCGGCAAACCACTAACCGGCCTCGACGCCTCTGCTGACTTCAACGACACCCTCCACTATCGGGGATTCCCACCCCTTCCTGCAGCGATCTACACCGGCAATGGATTCGACGACGACCCCAACAGCGGCCACGGCGGCCACCGCGTCTCCCTGGACGCCGAAGGCCTCGCGCTGACCCAGGACAGCTTCTGGATCTCCGACGAATACGGGCCCTACGTCTACCGTTTCGACCGCCGCACCGGCCGGATGGTCACAGCCATCGAGCCCCCACCCGCCTACATCCCGCACCGCAACCAGACCATCAGCTTCAGCGCCGACAGTCCCCCCATCTACGACCCGAACGACGCCCCCATCCCCGAAGACCCCGTGACTGGGCGCGCGAACAACCAAGGCTTCGAGGCCTTGACCATCTCCCCGGACGGGAAGACCCTCTACACGATGATCCAGTCCGCTTTAGACCAGGAAGGCGGCACCAGTAAGAAGTACCGTCGTCCCGCCCGTCTGCTGCAGTACGACATCTCCTCGGGAACTCCGGTAACCGAGCACGAGTATGTGGTCATGTTACCCACGTACTATGATCCCACCAAGGGCCACGACGTGGTGGCCGCGCAGTCGGAGATACACTTGCTGCCGACCGCCGCCGGGGATCTCGACAAGGCATTCTTGGTCCTGGCGCGCGACTCCGGGTTTGGTCACGGCCAGGACGAGTCGTTGTCGGTGTACCGGCATGCGGATGTCGTGCGCATCACGAGCAACACCACCGATCTGAAACAGTGGCGGGGAGTTGACGGGGTTAATGGGTCCATCGCCTCGGCCAAGGGGGTCTTGGACGCCGGGATTACCCCGGCTGAGTATTGTTCCTTCTTGGATTATAATGTCGAGAGCCAGCTGGCCAAGTTTGGGTTGCATAACGGCGGCCCGCAGGATAGGTTTTTGTTGAATGAGAAGTGGGAGAGCCTGGCGCTGGTGCCCGTGGAGCCGGGGCTGAAGGCGTCCGTCCGGGAGAGGGAGTACTTTCTGTTTAGTTTGAGTGACAATGACTTTATTACACAGAATGGTAAGTAGAGTCTTGTGTCCATAACGCTGGAGGAGTCAGTGGCTGATGGGTTTAACTAGGCCGCATGAACTTCGGTCGGTTCAAGTATGCTGATGAGTCCGGATATAACCTTGACAATCAGGCACTGGTATTCCGGGTGAAGATCTCATCATAGGGCATTTACCTGACCGAGATAGTAAATCACGCACTCTTCTTTTCTTGCAAATTGGTGGTTTTCTATGTCTGACATCATCCAGTGAGCTTCTTTTTAAGCATGATGCTTGTGATCCTCAAGGCGGAGTCATTGTATCTAGATGGTCAGATTTCAAGAAAAGATCACGGCTTCATACGGATTTATTATTCATCGTGTGCATGAGGAAATGTTGGAGCTCTTTCCCCTGATCCTTATAGATCATTGCAACCGAATCCTTCATCCATGAAAGGATACATAGTAGAAAATACTGTCGTCTTCGTCCTGCCACCATAGACCCGCCATCCCGCTCAACCCACTTATATATCAGCGCAAACCGGAACAACTGCTTGTTCAACCAAACCACCAGCTTCTAAACACTCAACATAATAAAAGCCCCAAATATACCCCGTTGACAATCATGAACATGCGTTACATGAAACACACTCATCCTCAAACGCCCCAAGCCCCCCCACTGTACTGTAGTACAGCCTACAGTAGCAAACAAAGAACCCCCCTCCACCCAAAATGTATACATCACTTCCTCAACCCAGCAAAAGCCAACCCATCACCGAACCCACAAACACATCCCAAACAAACACTTAGATGAATCAAAAGTGACCCAGCAACTAAAATTGCGTCATGCCCTTCTCTCCCCCCTGTCCCACTTTTATATCTATTAGTTCAAGTTACAACCTCTGTATCCCCCTTTCAATTTGACAACCATCTTCCCCATTCCTCGAGCCAAACACCACCACCCCAAACACCCCGCGCGCCTTTCTGGGCCCAGAGTTCCACAGCCAGCCACAGCCAGCCACAGCCACAGCCACTATCCTCGTCCATCCAACCAGAGAGGAACTTGAGTGAATTTTGAATATAACACATGGCTCAGGCTCGGGATTTATCGGTCGATGATCTTTCGGACGAGTCGAGCTTCTATGGTGGGTATATATTCCATATTTCCTTTATCACTACGTAAGGCTGTTTGGTGGTGATGAATCTATTCAGATTGGTCGGGGCTTCGCGAAAGTGAAGGACTGTCCTGAGACTGACATCGAGGATAGGTGATGACGACGACGACGAGGTCAAGGACCTAGAACACCTCGTTACGAGCTACGACACCGGCTATTACTGGACCAGGATCCATCCGTACTCTCTGAACACTATCCGTCAGAAAGCGTTGCGCGCGAGGCACACGGCAAAAACAGAAGAAAGAGAAGCGAGTGGGAAAGCAGCCGCGATGACCGACGGTACTATTATTAAGAAGGAAGACGGGGATGATGGCGCGGCGCCGCCTAGGTGTTACAGCTTTCCACCACCGGCTTCTCCAACTCGCACGACCGAACCAAAGAATGAAGAGGCGGACGGCGACACGGTCATGACTGGTGTTTCTGCCTCGGAGTGCAACCGCGTGAGACGCACAGCCTCGCGCGAGGTAGCTGCGGGGTTGACGCCATCCAGTACGCCCGCTGATGCGGTCGGGCCGTGGATTTATGTCGCAGCACCTCAGCTTAGACGGGGCCCGCAGCAGGCGGAGCTCGCGAGACTCGTGGCGGAGGGGACGAGGGCGTTGCATCGGTTCGAGAATGACAAGGCGGCGTTGCAGGTGCAGCGGGACAGGGCCCCGGCGGGGTCGAAGCAGGCGGCGACGCGGGCGTTGCTCCGTCGGCGGCAGGAGCTGGAGAGCGAGCTGTTCGCGCTGGCGAGGCAGACGGGCGTCGTGTCCGGGAAGTGGATGCTGTTTATCACGGCAGATCGGGTGGACGAGTATTGGACGGTGGTGGCCGAGGCGACCGTGCGCGGAGAGCTGGGATTCGGGGCCAAGGTCGCAACGGATGATGGGCAGGGGAGGGCGCGACTGATCGCAATCTACACCCACGATCATGAGGACCGCGAGGATGTGGCCCGGGTGCTGAGGAGAATGGTGGAGTTGGAGCTTGTCAAGGCCAAGGAAAAGCCCATATACTATAAGTGTGATGCGTTCACCCATCTGGAGATCATGGGGAACAATCCTTGGGGATTGAAGGCGAGTCGGTTTTCGAGTCGAGATGTGTTGCGGGGTGAGTTGTGAGCTGCCGTTGTGGTGCTGGATGTTCGGATTGTGAATTCAAGAATGTGTACATTTCGGCCATTTTCAGCGCATTCGCCATGATTTGAGGCTCAAGACGGACCTAGCAGGCTCAGTATGCCGATCCCGTAGCTTTGTATGAGCAACTGATTGACGATGACGATAGGCAAGTCAGCGTCCGAGAAGATGCCATCCTTATGTCCGCCGCCATTCCAAGCCTGAATGGCAACACTCTATTCCGACCCCAACAAGCCCCCAAGATGTCGAAGCACAGTCGAGTCGACCACTTTTTATTACCCGTTCTCTCCGGCGCATCACCTCAAGACGACTCGTCCCCTCGGTCCATGACCTTCTCACAAGCCTCCCGGACCTCCGCAACCCCCTTGACCCCCTCCCACTTCACCAGCAACTTCCTCACCTCCTTCCAATCCCTGTCCGCCTCCTCCACCTTCCCCTCAGCAACCAGCTTCTCCAACCTGTCCGGCGCACCCAGCACCCACTGCACCGTCAACCGCTCTCCCTTCCTCCGCTCCGTTCCCAGCGTCGCCTTCGCCTCCCGAATCCGGCGCTGCTGCTCCTCGCCCTCCTGAATCAGACTGCCCGCCGTCTCCGCCACGAACGCAATCGCCGGCCCCAGGGTCTTGGTCATGGTCAACGGCGCCCCGCGCTCATCCATGCTGCGCCGCATCTTGCCGATGGTCTCGACGGCGCGGATCAGCTTGGAGTAATTGTCGTACACCAGCGCCTTCCGCTCGCTGTCCAGCGTGCGGATGTCCCCGACGAGCGTGTTCTCGGCCTTGAGGACTGTGGACAGCGACGAGGTGGCCAGGAGGTGGTTGACGTAGCGCTGGGGGTCGAAGTCCGGGCTGTCGAGTTCCGTCCCCGTGGCCACGACGGATGATGGGTGGTTGTTGTTATTTGGGGCGGGGTCCTCGCTCGGGCGGGGGATGCTGCGGGATCGGCGTCCGGCGTCGGCGGTGGCAGCATCGGTTGGGCGGAGGTTGTAGTAATCGCGGAGGGCGGCGCGGTTGCGGCGCGGATGGAGAGATGGCGAGACTGCCCGCGCGGTGGAGGGGGTCGAGGAGGCGCTGAGTCCCCCGCCGTTGTAGCCGAGATTGGTGTTCAAGGTGTCCAGGGAGGGGCGGTGGGAGGAGGTCGGGGTGGGAGAGTGGGCGCGTGATGAAGCAATTGACGGACGGGGGGAGGAGAGTGTCGACATGGTGGGTAGTGGTTGTGGTGGTGGTGGTGTGGAGGTGGGCTGTACTGTTCGTTGCTACCTATGTGAGCAATAGAGAGACAATAGGAAGTGTAAGACACGTATATGAGTATATCGGAGAAAGGTGTAATTCAACTGGATGAATGGAAGTTGATTGTTGATGAGGTGTAAGTAGGAAGCAGGAGGATTAGGGGACGGGGACGTTCTTCCCGTTCTTCCCCCCACCCCGGATTCCGCTCCCAAATGGTTTCTCCAAATTTCCCGCTCCTTCCCCTCACCCACTGCAACAATCAAAACTTCAGAAAACCATGCTCCCAACCTCTCCCACCTAAACCCCGAAACCTCTTTCTCCCAAACCCCCAACCCCAGCACCCTCTACCCTCACTCTAAACACCCACCCTTCCCCAAGAACCGGAACCATACCATGACCACCCCGCAATCCCAAATCGCCGCCCAACTGCACACCACCAAAGCCCTCCCCGTCTCCCCAACCTGGCTCAACAGCTTCGTGTCTTCCACGACCGCCCTGCAACGCAACGTGCCCATCTCGGCCCTGACCCAAACCGCGCTCTTCCGCATCCTGGCCTCGGACATCCGCGACTCCCTGCACACCAACAACCCCTCTGCCCTCCTCCCCGCCGACATCGTCGACCCCTCCGTGCAGGAGCGCCGGCTCCCAGGCCCCGTCCCCGTCCAGGTGCTGGACATCGAGGACATCGGCACGAGCCTGTGGAGCCAGGTGGAGGCGATCGAGCGCGTCGAGCGCGGGGAAGCGATCCGCGGGCGGGAGATTGTACGGGCTGTGAATGTTGGTGGTGGTGGTGGTGGCGGGGAGGAGGATGAGGAGGCGGAAGGAGGCGGAAATCCTGGGCCTGCGGCGTCTGAGAACGAAAGTCATGGACCGCATCGGTTGATCGTACAGGACGCGGCGGGGACGAGAGCTGTGGCGGTGGAATTGAAGCGCGTGCAGGGGATATCCGTGGCGAAGCTGGCAATCGGAGCGAAACTGGTCATCCGGAATGCGACGGTGGCGCGCGGGATGATCTTGCTTGCGCCGGACTGTATGACGCTACTGGGAGGGAAGATTGAGAGTATGGATCACGCGTGGAAAGAGGGGAGGAAGGCGAGGTTGTTGGCGAGGATTACGGAGATGCCAGGTGGGGATCAGTCAGGTTAATGCCGCTGGCGGAGAGGAATATTTGCATTGGTGGTATGTCCTTTTTCTTCCCCCTCTTCTCTTTCTCTTTTCGTGATTCGTTTCTATCTAATAGCCCTTTCACTAGATCTTCATCTATCTCACATTTGCAGAAAGTGGTGCAAAGGTAGCGACTATTCGATCGTCGATACTGCATGATTCAGTTCTTCCCATCCTGATTGCTGCCATGGTGCCACCATGATTGCCCTCATTGCGTCGCTTGCCTTCCCGGTCTGTGCGTATGCAGCAGCAAGATCAACGGCTTCTAGGTTGCTGCGGGGAGGGACGCTTCTCAAGGCTCTCTTGACGGCCATCTCAGCTGGATACAGCTCCTGCGTAGCCGACGACAATTCCACCCAGCCTTGCGGTTCGGCAGGCGATCTCATCACTGCTGCAGTGGCTTCTCCGATCCGTCTAGTCTCCTCAGGAACATCCGAGTTATCTCCGTATCCCAGGGTCGACACCGCAGTGAGAAGCTTGATTAGCTTGCCGCGCTCATGGATCTCTATGTCATCGCGAGTGATCATGTTGCGGAGGTCAGATTCAACAGCCTCAACCGCGTCTCTATCATTATCTAGTAGCGCAATGGCCCCGAGGAGGGTGACGGCGCCGATGTGGTCAGGATACTCTTCAACACAGTCGAACAGCTGCTGGCGAGCAACGGCTCTTTCCTCCTCCCCGCCCTTGGCCCACAGCACCTGTGCCAAGAGGCACACCACCTCTGGAGCATTATCCGCCTCCCCAAGCGCATCACGGAACATGTCAATAGCGTTGTCCATGGACTTCAGGTAGTAGTGTGCCAGCCCAGCGGTCAAGTGCGCTGACAGGCGCAGCTTCTTGTTCGTCTCAGGATCGAACTTCTCCGCGTCCTCTTCACCAGAAAGCATAAGCGCGGTTTCCGCCTTCTCGGCGGCTTCCTCGTACTCATGACGGGCAAGAAGCACACGGGCAATATCTGCGTTGGCCTGCGCATATCGAGAGAGGGATGCGGCTGACTCGGAGACTTCGTATTCGGCCTCCACTCCCGCACAGACAGTTCGCAAACTCGTTTCGGCATCCGAAAACTCACCAATTCTTTCCGCTAGAAGGGAAGAGAGATGGACGAATGGCAGGTCAGAAGGCTCCTGGCTGGAAAGCTGGTGAAGGGCGAAGAAGGGCTGGATGAGTTGCGAGATTTCGTTAGAGATGGAAGAATCAGACATGAGGTGGTCGAACAAGGTCATTGTGTATTGTTTCTTGGGCAACCGTGACAATGAATTCGAAATGTCGAAGGCGTGCTCAAACAAGCCTCTTGCTTCCCGCGAATCACCGAACAAGAGAGCAAGCAAGCCTTGGCCGACCCAAGCTGGGGCGTAGTCTGGATCGGTAGACTGTGCCCGGGTAAAGGCCTCGTTTGCCAGCTGAATATCATTGTGGAGGAGATATAAGGTTCCTAGATTCGTCCAAACCTGCGCACTGCGATCGTTGAGATGCAGACTTCGCACGAATGAATGCTGGGCAACCTTGGGACTCATGCTTGTAGTCGCGACACCAAGTGCATTCCAGAATTCAGAGTTGCCGGCCTCCAGTTCAATGGCTCGCTTGAAGCAACGCATCGCTGTCTTGACAAATTTGCGAGTCTGCTTCTTATTTTCGGACGGCGAGCTGAGCTGCAGGCTTCTGTAAGCTCTGTATTCGGCCCAGCCGAGGTTATACCAGGCAACGGCCTGAGCATGCGTATCCCGGAGTGAGACCTGGATGGCACGTTTGTAGGCTAGGATGGCGGCATAGAGACATTTATTCGATGAGCTGGTGGTATCGTCCTCAGAGGTTAGTGAAACGAGGATTTCCGCGCCCACTTCATCCACGTCAGTCATGATGTCCAAGGCTGACGGCTCCAGTTGGGTTGTGAGCAGGCTCTGCAATTCATCGATCGGCAGCCTGTCTGCCTTGGACTTCACATAAGAAAATAAACTGCATGCGTCTCCAATGCCCTTCCAGAGGTTGAATACATCGACTCTTTCCATTGCAAGTGACTGTGCTGTCGAAATCGCACGCCGCGCAAGCTCAATGCAGTCATTGTACCGTCCCAGTTCCAGACTCTTCCAGGAGCTTTCGGTAAGCGTCTGGAGCAAGGCAATCAAGACACCAATCTCGGTGGGCCTGACTTTCAGCACGTTCTCGTACCTTGCGATAGCATCGTCATAATCGGCAAGCTCCCGCTTGACATTCGCAAGCATGTATCTCGCAAACCAGATCTGTTCCTTGTCGCTGCTTGAAAGCGTCTCCTCCAAGGCTTGTGCGTGCTCGAAAGCCTTGGTCGCGGCAATATACCTTCCGGAGTGGTGGTAACTCTCGCCCAAACCGACCCATGAATGGTAATCATCGGGCTTTATTCTCAGCGCTGCTTGGAACGATACAATGCTCTTCGGGTATTGCTGTTTGTTGATTTGGACAGTACCCAAAGCTGCGTAGGGCCAGCTGTAGCCCTTGCGCTTAGAGCCTGGAGCTGGCTTGGCTTTGCCAGAATCTACCACGCGCTGGGCTACGGCTTCGACGAGGTCCCAGTCCCGCTGGTTAGCGAATGTGCGTGCCAACCTCTCTGCGGCTTCGATTTCAGACGGGGACAACTCAAAGGCTTTGTGAAAGCATCTCTTGGCTCGCGTCTT